TGATCCTAGATACATGAAATGAAGTGGCATGATCGCTTCAATCAAAATAGTTAACCATTTACAATATAAGCATGCCCTCGATTTAAATATTTCTTAAAGGAGTATAGACGCTATGGGTCGTATCTTGTTTACTAAGAAATGTGCACACTGCATCACTTTTCATGACATTTAACTTAGAACTTCCCAAGACACAGTAAATAATTTGTAATTGCATTGGTTGTACCCAATGGTCTCAATTTCTATTGCTGGGAGGCAGGATCTTGAGATGATGTCACATATCAGTCCGGGCCTAAAAGATTTGGATGCAGAGGCAGAGGCATTCACGGTTGCAGCACATTGAGTGTACATATCACAATACTGGCGCACATCCCTAAGACACCAGAGTTGTAGAGGCAGCACCATCAACGGTGTGTAGTGTCTAGGACTAGTTGTGTGCCAGGTGCCAAGTGTCTGCCTGAACGAACTTTCGCATTGATGCCTTAGCAACATCTCCGTCAGCGTTTCCAGTTCATCAGCCCTGCCTTTTAGAAGTCGCATTCTTAAGTAATGCCTTTCATTGAGGTGCCCACGTCAGAGTGCAGTCTCTGAGGCGTTTGTGATATCCACCTTGACATTCTCAGATTACCGGTTGTGTGGTCTAGAGCTGGCACTCTTCATAGATGTAACTATGTGCTAAAATGAGGGCAGACAAAGCCACTGCTATGTCAATACTTTAGGAACCCCTCTGGCCGCCATAATAATATGTTTAACTGACCTGTGGTGTCACCTCAACCTCCTGGCTCCCAGCAATAAAAATAAAGACCACTAGGCAGAAACAATGTACTACTATATTATTTGCAATGTCTTGACACAAGTTGCACGCCAGGATAAGCGACATCATATGCATTGCTTTGAGTAAAAAGGCAACCCGAGAAATTGGTGTGTGCCTCGTTTAACAGTAGGCCCGACCTTACCATCTAGTTTTGCTAAGCCACCGATACCACGATTTTTATTTAGGGAACTTCAGTCTTTCTGCACGTACAACATTGCTGGGGGGGTCTGTGCACGCAGTGCGGGAGACAGCATAACATGCCTTGACGAAAGTAATCCCTGGAGAAGGGGAACAAGAGGGACAAAGGACAAACATAAATCTCCAAACACAGCTAGGTGACTGGTGAGCGACCGAAAAAATCCGCCTGGTCCGGGTATCGAACCTGGGACCTCTCCATTACAAGTGGAGCGCTCTACCAACTGAGCTAACCAGGGGTTAGACGTCAGTAAACGGGTTTTATCAGCTGCCACCAGTCGAACACCAACAAGGGTGAAGCTTGCAATTTAAGGTTATAATTATAATGCAATTAAATGCAAAGGTGCAAGCGAGCTGGACAAGAATGACGAAAGTAATCCCTGGAGAAGGGGAACAAGAGGGACAAAGGACAAACATAAATCTCCAAACACAGCTAGGTGACTGGTGAGCGACCGAAAAAATCCGCCTGGTCCGGGTATCGAACCCGGGCTGATAAAACCCGTTTGCTCTACTGACGTCTAACCCCTGGTTAGCTCAGTTGGTAGAGCGCTCCACTTGTAATAGAGAGGTCCCGGGTTCGATACCCGGACCAGGCGGATTTTTTCGTCGCTCACCAGTCACCTAGCTGTGTTTGGAAATTTATGTTTGTCCTTTGTCCCTCTTGTTCCCCTTCTCCAGGGATTACTTTCGTCATTCTTGTCCAGCTCGCTTGCACCTTTGCATTTAATTGCATTATAATTATAACATGCCTTGTTCACCATTTCCTTCCTCCTGAGAACAAAAGCTATGGCAGCGCAATAAATGCACCAAATGAATCGTGAGATTACTCTAATAGGCCCAGATATGCTGGATGTAATAAAAGACGCAAAATCATCAAGAGTGTCCTATGACGCAGCAGCGCTGTCGTGCAAAATGTACAAAGAACTGACGTGGTGGCGCCGATACCGTTCGCTCTGGAAAGACTGTCAGGTTCATTGAGTCTCCAATTGACTGACACGAGAGCAGGAAACATGCGCATGTTTGCATTTTTCTTGGCTGCATCAGTGTTCTGTACTGCCTCAAGAATTTTCTCTCATGTATCTTCCTCGTCAAGCTCACTATACTTTATCAACACACTCAATGCTCATGACTAGCAAACCTGTGTGATGTGAATCCAACGTTCTGTGTGCATTTTTGGCGTCCTACAACGAAGGCCAATAAAATATTCTCGTGGAAATGGGAACTCCCGAACAAAGCAGCTGAAATGTCTGCTATCGCAACTCGTCGCATATTACAAGATACATCTTCCTCGAGTCCTGCCTGTACTGTTCCTAGGCCGCTTCATAATGGCAACGCACCATTGGCAGCGTAAAAGGCTCCTAAATGAACATGTGGCATTTCGATTTAAAAGGAAGTCTACATAACCATTTCTTTCATACATCTAATATGTTATCCCAGCTCGATTGCCAGGCAGAATCTACCAACGAGTGTGCACAATCTTGTAAAATTTGCACGACCCACCGTATGGAGCTTCCCAGAACGAGGCTGCTCGATTTTTATGCATGGTGGCATGGGCATAGAAAAATAGGGAGGTGCCCAGAGATTAGCGCAGATTCTGGTCAATTGGGTCAGGCGAACCAGGCCCAATTGCCTCACTCTTGGCAAGCATTATTACTCACCTGAACTGCTGCTCGTCTTGCACACCTTTTAAAAGTGCCTTGTCCTCGAGAATCATGTCCTCGGTGAGGTCCACATCTGTTTAAAACCCAGCATGGTAGACCTTGTGTGACGAAAAAAAAATAAAAAGACGTTATAGGCAGCATTGTCAATGCAGTTAATATATTATGCTTGTATGAGTGGGTCGAGGGAACACCCCACAAAACGTGAAACTGACCTGTATTTTATTTAATTTATCAATTCCTTCATTGCCCACAAACGAAATAGAAGAACAAAGGATAACAAGTAGGTTATAAACCATAAAGGGCAGCAAGTGCTTCCCGGAATTAGGAAATATGGGACATATACACTGCACGAGCGATCAGAAACGCCACAAATATGGGCCTCGCGCTGTAGCTTCGCTCGTACCTAAAGTGAAACGAAGCGTAGGCACACATCGCCTACTGCACTTCACGTTGTCTAAACGCTTATCTGATCACTTGCTTCGTAAACATTCATAACATTTCGCGTACAAAGGACAGAAAGAAATATGCGAGATGCTTGTGCTCACCATGATGTGGCTTGGTTCGAGGTCCACTCCTTCGAATACCTGTTTCTGAGCAAGGCTCCGAATTAAATCGGGGCGCCGGCGCTCTCCGTCCACAGCGACAACGATCTTGTGTGTGCCGTAAGTCACCAGGCACTGAATCGCGCTCATTGTTCGCACTTCGGTGCGATTCGCGACGTTGACAACGTAAACTGTTCACACTCGTCTCTGCTCCAACTCGGCCCTCGAGAAGCGCGGGAAACCGGAAGACAGACAAGGCAAGGGTTGCGCATGCGCGCAAGCTCAGCGCGTTTGGATCGGATGGGCTCACTGGCTTCACGTTGACTAGTAGCCGTTGAGCCAAGGAGTTCAGAGTTCAGCAAGCAGTTCAGTCGTTAGTGCATAATCTAAAAAAAAAAAAAAACGATAAAGAAAAAAAAAAAAAAAACTTGGCTTAGGTTTTGCTGGGGGTATCTACGAATATATGCGGCGTTGAGCGCGTTGAGCCAGCCGTCTAAAAGCCACGATGACCAGTCATTGTTATTATTAAAGGGGTACTCCACCGTTTTTTCATTGTCTCCGATTTGCTTGAAATTTTGCTAAACTAACCAACAAACATTGCTAAAATAGTATCCCAAATATTAGGCCAAAATATTGTTTTTTCGCGGTTATTGAATTTACAGTTTTGGTCTTCACCATGTTTTTCAAACTGAAAGTCTGTACTGGCAACAACAACAAAGTGACGTCAGTGGAAGGCAGGGGTTAACTTTTTGGATTACAGAAGTTGTTCCCAACAGATTTGAAGCAGTTTCTTGGTGTCAAATGAGTGCTTTGGAAGCTAGCTCCCGTATCCGCGCTCCAGCACGGAACAAATGATTGGCATATTCTATTTTTAGACTATTTGCTCGACTGGCAAGCCTGCCTGCCACTGACGTCACGGCACTGAAAAGTGCGCGAATATTTGAATATTGGTTTTTGCACCATTTTCATTTGCCGATTTCACAATACCTATTATGAATTTCGCGATGCTAAATAGCATACCGGAAAGGCTAAAGGCCGGGCAGTCAGAAAATATAGTTAGTTGAGGTAGCTCAAAAAATCGGTGGAGTACCCCTTTAATGCCTCTGTTTTGGATTATTCAGGGAGACACTGGCTTTCATGCTCCTTTTGTTATCTCTCATTTTAAACGTTCCAGTCGTCCACAAGAGCGTTTTCTAGCTTTTAGAGGAAAAAGCTTAACACCATATCGGCTCACATAAGTTTTCCTGTTTTGATTTGTAACTTTTGACGGCGGCAAGATTTTTCTTTGGTATTTACAGAAATTAAAATCACCACCTAGCCAAATTTGTTGTTGATTTACAAACACGTTTTTTTTTTTGTTTGACATGGAGATCCAGCGGTACTTCGCAAAAGATTTTCCGCCAAACTCTTAAAAAAAATAATTATAATAATAAAAAAAGTACAAAATTATATTTTTAGCATAATTATGAAAAGTTATTAAAGTCATAGTTTATTCAGATTAAAGATACCGCGCACGAAACTTCGTGTCGTGATGAAACAATAAAGTTTTTTTTTAAATAAATAAAAAACCAGGGAAAAGTTTTTAAATGAAAACATGTGAGAAGAAAAAAGCTTAGAAATTGGTCTTTTCTTTGGTGCAGTGTCTAACCTTTCGAAAAAAACAAAAAAAACAGAAAATGTGCTTGAATCCAGTATAATCAGTATAATCCAATACCTGCCAACCACGCTCTGGTAGAAAGAATGACGAACTGCTAGTGATGTGTGCAAGGTGTTCAGTATATGTGAACAAAAATGGTGCTCAGGTACTGTCCCAGGTGCCCATACTTTTCTGAACAATTTACCAGAGTGCTCACCCATATAGGAGTTGTGCATGGCGGTGAGGTTAAATTCACAGTTTTGTGTGGAATCAACGGTTGTACAAACAGCTACAACCAGTTTGCATCCTACAAGTCCCATATTTATCGTTGCCACAGGGATGTGCTGTTTAACACTGGAAGTAGTTTCAGCAGTGAGAGAAGAAATGATGACCCCCGAGGCTTCCCAAGCACTGACAAAAATCGTGCCTATGACGATGTCGACGAACTTGCTTCAAGTTTACAGTCAGAAGCAAGTGCAAGCAGTACCAGATCCCCAAAGAGAAAGCAGTTAGAAGATTTCGTTGCAGAAGCCAAAGCTGCCATCTGGAACTTCTTTTTCAATGTCACTAAAAATCACAAGCTGCCCCACAGCGTAGCCACAAAAATCTTTGGGGACCTACAACTTGTTTTCGAGAACATCATCAAGGCATTTGCCGATGAAATCGCAGCCAAGATTGATGTGTCCGCCCTGCCTTCTGACGTCATCTCACTCCTGGGATGTTCGTTCTTGCCCGACCTTTTCAAGGGCATCCAGAGTAAGCACTTGCGGGAACAATATGCCAAGACAAACTTTCCATATGTGGAACCGGAAAGCTGTGAGCTCGATACTGAAGGCGGTGGATATCACTACGTGCCAATCCCCAGACTCCCCAGAAAGCTCTGCGAGGTTCCTGACATTGCTGGTGAGCTTGTTACACCACAAGCACGCTGTGATGACGCTGAGGTGTACAGGGACTTCTCTGATGGGCTCTTGTTCCGAGACCTTAAAGACCTCATCCGTGAAGGGGACCAGTATACCATTTTTATTTTGTTATACTTTGACGAAGTAGAAATCTGTACCCCGCTGGGAGCAAAGCGTGGAGTTCACAAACTGCTCGCAGTGTATTTCACACTGCTGAATCTCCACACGAGGCACAGGTCCCAGTTGAGGTTCATTTTCCTGGTGCTCCTTGCAAGGTATGAGGACGTACAGGAGTATGGCTTAGACGTCATCCTTCGTCCTTTGCTTAATGATCTCAAGGAACTGCACTCTTGTGAAGTAATGTTCACCAGCAGAGGTGAAACACACAATGCACATGTGTTTGTTTTCGGTGTGTGTGGTGACAATCTTTCAATGAACCGCCTTGGAGGTTTTACGTGTTGTTTCAGCCAAGGCAGGGTGTGTCGCTTCTGTATGGCAACATCCGGCAAACTTTCAAACCTAACAACAGAGGACTTCTGTGCGCTGCGTTCAGCTGAAGCATACCAGCAGCACCTTCAAGCGATCACTGTCAACCCCAAGCAAAACAAGAGAATGTATGGTGTGAATGAACGATCCCCAATGCTGGAACTGCCATATTTTGATGTCACACGCCAATTGCCTCCTGACCTGATGCATGACATTTTGGAAGGGGGCTTCGAGACGGTTCTTCGACAAGTTCTGAAAGGGCTAGTTGACGATGGCATACTGGCGTACAGCGACTTAGATTACATTACTTCATTCGAGTAAGGGCAGAATGACAAAAAGAACAAACCTGTTGGAATGAACAGGTCATTCCTAAGAAACAAGGCGAACCTGAAAGGAACCGCTTCTGAGAAGTGGTGCCTTCTCAGACTCCTGAGTGTGATCCTTGGCGACCTGGTGCCAGAGGGCAACCCTGATTGGGAGCTGTACCTTCAGTTTCGCGAAATAGTGGACCTCAGTTTTGCCACGGTCATACCCTGCGAGTACCTGCCCTATCTAGAGTCACTTGTGCAGACATCCCTTGTAGAATTCGCACAACGCTATGGTGCTGCATCTGTGATTCCAAAACTGCACTACCTCGTGCACTATGCCAGATTTATTCGTGAACTAGGTCCACTGCCACTGTTTTGGTCAATGAGGTTCGAGGCCAAGCACCAATATTTTAAAAGCTTAGCATCACGGGTCAAGAACTTCAAGAACATAACTCTAACCTTGTCGAAAAGGCATCAACTGTTGCAGAGCCACCAGCTTAACGAGCTGTCTTTAGACTGTGACCTCATGGCATCATCTGGAAAGCCCATTAAGCAGAGTGCTCTGCCTCCTTGTGTTCAAGGACTGCTGCCACCGAATGCACACCAGGTACTGCATGCGTCGCTCGACCACCGTGATTATCGGTGCGGTGATGTCCTTGTGAAAGCTTTTCAAGATATCGAGCCAGTGTTCTATAGAGTTGAGGCTCTGTATGTTGCTTCGTGCAAATTGTTCATTTTGGCTGAGCTGCTAGCCAATGAGGGTTTCCACAGACACAGGTTCTGCTACTGTGTCCGCAGATCTGGTGAGCTAGAACTCGTGGAGGCTAACAGTGATGACACACTCCACAGTGCTTTAGATTTGTTCAACAATAGTGAAGTTGTTCTCAAATGGGAAGTATGTTAAGATTCTCAAACATTTTAGCCCCGGAGCGCAGGGATAAAAGAGGTCGGACAATACCGACCTCCATACGCCTATACACTGCCAGAGTTTATTCATCATATTACGACTTCCTTAAATAAAAAAGCGCACAAAACAACCGAGCTTTTTTGTGTCCTGTTCCATTTAGGGGTGTCGTATTATGAAGAAAAAACTTTACCAGTGTCTGGAAATTCGTACTGTCCAATCCCTTCTCTCCCGCACTTAGGTGTTAAAATGTTTGGTCGCGTGTGCTTTTCCATACTTCAAGATTGGTATGCCTGTACATAACATCTCCCTTTCTTTTTCCCCTGGTGTCAAATGCGACTCGGTGGCTTCCCCAGTTTTTGTTATTGCATAGTGTATCCGAGTAGAGGTTCATCTGCTCGACGTTGGCTGCATAAACAGTATAAACAGTCCCAAAATGCATCGTTCTCAATGCAACAGATTACGAGCATGTCCAGCATTCATGCAAAAGTGTCTTTGGTGGGCTTGCAATTGCTCGTGCCTCTTTCTCAACCACACTGCGCTTGTGAAGGAAGTAGCAGTGAATGCAAGTCTGTCAGAGATGTAATCTTGTAAATGCTGCAGATGCTAGCAGTTTGTGGGTGTATGCTCTTTTTATTTGTCAGCAGAACAGCAACAAGACAAGCTTATCTCGTAACTGCCCACAGTTTAGCATTGTGCAGCATACATTACTTGATTAAAAAATAAGCTGACAAGGTAAAGAAAACTGCAAGTGCAGCACTAGCTTAAAGGGGTACTCCACCGATTTTTTGAGCTACCTCAACTAACTATATTTTCTGACTCCCCAGCCTTTAGCCTTTCCGGTATGCTATTTAGCATTACGAAATTCATAATAGGTATTGTGAAATCGGCAAATGAAAATGGTGCAAAAACCGATATTCAAATATTCGCGCACTTTTCAGTGCCGTGACGTCAGAGGAAGGCAGGCTTGCCAGTCGAGCAAGTAGTCTAAAAATAGAATATGCCAATCATTTGTTCCGTGCTGGAGCGCGGATACGGGAGCGAGCTTCTAAAGCACTCATTTGACACCAAGAAACTGCTTCAAATCCGTTGAAAACAACTTTTATAGTCCAAAAAGTTAACCCCTGCCTTCCACTGACGTCACTTTGTTGTTGTTGCCTGTAAGACTTTCAGTTTAAAAAACATCGTGAAGACCAAAACTGTAAATTCAATAACTTCGCGAAAAAACAATATTTTGACCTAATATTCAGGATACTATTTTAGCAATGTTTGTTGGTTAGTTTAGCGAAATTTCAAGCAAATCTGAGACAATGAAAAAAACGGTGGAGTACCCCTTTAAGCACCTTGCTTTGAAATGTCTTTCTAGCAAGTGCTTGTGACATGCAAGCTCGTTTCAAACCTGCAACCTCATGCCTGTCTTTGGGAAGTATGTTAAGATTTGCACTAATGGGAACTATGTTAAGATTCGCATAGACCGTTGGACAACCCTTAAGCCGACACTGTAGGCTTCGCTACACTGTCGGCTTAAAGGTGTACTAAAGAGGTTTCCGAGATTGTCTATTCTTGGTGATAACTCAATCCACGGGCTCCAAACATCCTAAACTTTATGCTCATGCCACACTTAATTATTTCCTCACTAAAAATATTGTCTAAGATGAGGACACACCCCTCCTTGAGCAGCACTTTCCGCTGAACAAGTGCGGTGCCGAGTTCAGCCGAGGCGACAGTGGGGTGACGAGAGGCACTTGTTAGCCAATCCCAAGCCACCTTTCCAAGCGCAGACGACGTGGCTACTTTTGCTGTCGGCTCATCTTGAGCCGAGAATTTTTCTTAGACTTCTCAACATTTCTCAGCTACCTGAAATTGATATCTTGGCAACCTTGGAAAGTATCATATTCCTCTCCTCTGCCGAATTAATGTTCACTAAAGACTACATTGTGACAGCACGAGAAGCTCAACTGTTGGACAATTAAGCTTTATAAACACCACCTTGCACAAGGGCAGTGCCTTGAGGTGTCTTTCCCAGCTTTGCATCCGCTGAAACTATACGTCCTGCCTACTTCATCTGTAAGGCATGCTCGCAACATCCTCTGAACAGTCTTTTCGATTGCGTCATCCTGCCGTAGTACAAGGCTATGTACTACGGTAGAATGACTCAACTCGGCAATGTGCAGATGCATGTTTGATAGTGCTAAAAGCCTGACTTCAACGAGGCTGCAAGCTTGCCACAAGGGTGCGAGCGTCCAAGACTGGGATCTGCTTCGTTGTCTTCCAACCAGGGCACACAAAAATAAATAGTTACCAGTGAGTTGCAGGGTATACTATACTCGGGTTCAACTTTCTGTGGCAACGAAGAGAAAGCTAGGGGGTGGAGCAAGCAGCTCTGTGTTCCTCCACTACATAATTCCCGATAAATTGGTCTCGGTTTCAGTATTGGCATGACAGACGCGCATTTGCCACAGTTCATCTCTTTACGTGAGCTTTGCTGTTGAGGGCGTTGAACCGCTATTACCGAGCAGGCAGGCATATCAGCGTGTCCTTCCCTACGCTTCACCTGTTTCTAAACACACACCAATGCTTTGACTCAAGAACTCGGACCGACTTGTAAGGAAATTATACCGTGGATGATATCGTCGAATTCTGCTTGTCTTGCGACCAGCGCAAATGTGCAGCGTCAATTTAAAAACTGTCGTGAATTTTGTCACCGCTGCAGTTTTGAGGGCACTGATATGTAAGCTCTTCCGTTGCTGAAAACTGGGCAGCGCCACGGACATGTGTAGCATGCTCAGCGTGCTTACATAGCGCGAGCGCAGTATACCGAAATAGAAGCACACACATCACTATAGCGCAAACTCAAATCACATTTGAATCGCATTGAGTTGAGTTACCGCTGGCCCAGTGTCCTAGCACTCCGCAGCTCGGAAGACGCATAGCGAAAGCTCGCGCTGCAGAACCCATGGATCCTGTGCTGAATCCCCACCCATCCGTTTTGATCTCTTCGACGAACATCGTACCGGCGTCGACTGCACTCGCCGAGTTGCTCTTCTACAGCATAGAGACATGTCATGCCCTGGATGGCTGACAAACGTCACTGTCTAAATATCCACACAATTACTGCTGGCTTAATTCGAAGTTGAAAAATAAATGGTCAGAAAGTTTCTGTAAATCCTGTTGCATGACAGCGTGCCTTTACCTTTTAAGTGTTCGACTTCATATCCCATAACCTCAGGCAGGGATCGAATCAATTATTTTTACAAAAGCTAAGGCTGATAGCAGGGAAATATTTAGCGTTTCGAAATTTGAAAGTGAGATATTTACTATGCTTATTACTCCTCGCCATTCAGCAGCCTGTAGAAATGCGATGGAAAATAGTTATTTAAACTCTACATGGACGTTTACATATGCAATCTACCCTCTGTTGTCGAAAAGACAAACATAAACAAAATATCAGCAACTGGGTACAGCTGATTATCTCATGCACAATGTGCGTGATTTTTTTATTTTTTTTGCCAGATGGCTGAAGCATTTATACAGAGGGTCAAAAAATTCAACAATGCATTCCTAGAAGTCACTATAATCTCTTAGTTCTTGACAGTTAATTCCACCAGGCTCATTTCATCAGTAACAAATGGCAAAAGCCTTTCACAATCTCTTCGTTGTCATCAAATTTTCCCTTTGCATCTGTCCCTGGTTAAATAGGATACCTCAGGCTACTACAACGAAATTTCGGTGCTTATTTTATGGTCTATAGGTGTTCAAAGGAGCAGTATCACATCCCAGGTAACAATTTATGTTGTGGAGACAGTCGCCGCAACAAAGTTTCGCAACAAAAAACAGTTTTTCTGCAATCGCGCAACAATGTTGTAGCAACAGTCATAACACTGCAGAAGTGTCCGCTGCTAAAGCACTGCGGCAACTGTGTCGGTCAACCGTTGATTGTTTCATGCTCGCAACAGTAACCGAAGCATTGCTTTTACCCAGCAAAATGTGTGCTGTCCTGATGTTGCTAAACTGTTCCCGTGGCGGGTTCAAAAACAGTTTGCGTTTACACTGCCAGAATGCAGCCGCCAAACATTGCTTTCCAAAAGTTTTCCAACCGTACGACACAA